TCTCACCTCTCTTAGGCTGGGGAGTGGGGTGGGGGATGGAAGCCCTATAAGGACCCCAAACACTGCACCACCCCTCCTGGTTTCCCAGCACCCTGCCTGCACCTTGGTCAATAGTCTGTTTATGAAACCTCCTAGAAAGATCCAATGCGAGTGACCACCTGCTTCCTGCTGGGACCCTGACAGAGCCAACCTGGGGCCCTGGAGGCGGGGAATAACTACTGTGAATCCCACAGTGGCCGAGAAGGAGCCGGGATGAACTTGCCCTGGTCGAACTGGACCAGCAGAGATGTCTTCCCCACGCCACTGTCACCCACCAGGATGGTCTGAAGGGAGCAACAGAGAGGCGGGAGCTGCAGTGTGAAGCAGGTTTCTGAGATGGTGTTGTGGCTGGGACAGTGGGCTCCTTGTAAACACATACACATGTGTGCACACACACACACACAAACCCACACACAGACACATTCACACAGATGCACACATGGACAGAGGGTAGGCACATACACAGAGACACACTCTTACACACAGGTACATTCTTGCCGTCACTCAGAGACAACCAGATAATTCCCTGCTCTGGACTCCAAGGGCAGCCTCCTCGGGTTGGTGGGGGCAGGAGGGCCCAGGATCAGGGGCCGGGCCACAGGCAGAGCCCTGAGCAGCTCAGAGGCTGTTCACTCCCTGCTCCCACGCACAAGAAAGACCAGGAAAGCTCCTGCCCCCGTGGTTTCTCAGGGCCGTCATTTTCCCTAGAAACTAAACACTCCCCCATTTCAGAGACCCTGGGCAGAGGATGTGCTTGCGGAGAAGTGGGTCACAAGGCTGAGCAGGCTCTCACCCCGATTGGGCAGTTGATCTTGTGAAGCGAAAGGCGGGTTCTGGCCACTTCCTGGAAATGCCCTGGCTCGTCAGCTGCTGTGTTTTTCTGTGCAAACAACCCCCCTGCTCTCTTATTTGTTTCTGATTAGGGTAGGAAGGCCTGAGGTCTCACCTTGGGACTCAGTGGCTCCTCAAGATGTCACAGGGTGCGTGTGACACATGGCCAAAGTGGCTCCAGGAGCGAAATATGAGAAAGGCTAACCTCTGAGCCCCACCTGAGGGCTTGCTGGGATCCCAAAGTGGGCAGAAGTTGGGGTATGGGCACTGAGTTGCAGGAAAAAGGGAATAAGACCTGCAGAACATGTCTTAAAGGAAGCAACAGCAATAGGTTTTATAAAGGGGTGGGGGTGTGAAGAGCGAGGAAGGATGGCCAAGAGCAATGAGCTGGTTTGTTTTTCTTTAAAAAAAATTATTTGTTGATTGAGAGAGAGAGAGATAGATAGATAGAGATAGAGAGAGAGAGAGAGAGAGAGAGAGAGAATCATCAATTTGTTGTTTCATTTATTTATGCATTCCCCGGTTGCCCCTTGTATATTCCCTGACTAGGATCAAACCCGCAACCCAGGCATATCAGAACAACTACCCTCCAACCAACTGAGCCACCGGCCAGGGCACAGGGACCAGTTTCTCCATGAAGGAGCCCTCGGCATTGCTGACAAGTTTATGGAGGATTCAGGCTGGGGGTGATATCCATGGGCTCTCACCGGAGGGCAGGGGCACAGCAGTGAGTTTCCGGTATGTCCTCAGGACAGAGGCCCCTCTTGCCCTTGCTCCTCACTGAGCTACCAGGTGCCCTGTCTCTGAGCCCCTTTCTTGGCAGGCTGGGTTGTGATACCCCCTCGGCCTGATCTTTATGCCAATCTCTGGTCCAGAATCTCTCCCCTGACTTTCTGACTTTGGCCCCAAGTCCTCCTTCACCCGGTTGAACTCCTGACCTTCTGGGCTCCTGAGAATCTGGCTACACCTGAAATTCCAGGTTTAGGATATTGTGTCCAATGCTGGGCTCTCTGTTGGAGCTGGGTTTCCCACCTCCAGTTGAGAGAATTGTGCAAGAGCCAGCCCGATCATGTGTCTGCAATTTCTAGAAGACGGAGCAGCACCGCAAGTTCTCACTTTAGAGAACCATCATGGCTCTGGGCAGGGAGGTATTACTTAAAATCTTATTCACAATAACTATGAAATCTTGCCCAGTACAGCTACTTCCTCTTTTGGTTCTATTCACGCATGGGAAGTGGCTGGGGGAGGAAGTGTGAGAGTGACTGTGAGTGAAAGCAGAAGGGCTGGAGGATGAAGGAGTCGAGCCTCTAGTTCGGTCTTACTGAGGGGCTCGACCCAGGGGGACCCGTGTGAGGCTGAAAATGTACCTGCTGCTGCTCTTTCCCCTTCTCTTCTGGGATCCAGGTGAGTGGGGGCTGGGTCTGAACTCGTGGGAGAAGCTTATGGGCAGGAGGAGGTGGCTGCCCAGGGGAGAAGTGGCCCAGAAGGTGTCCTGCTGAGAAGTGGACCCCATTTCTTAGTTCCTCCAAGCCATGAGCCTGTGTGGTTCATCCACTCAACTCACCACCAGTGTTTCAGTGGCTACAGTTGCCAACGAAGAAATAGGCAGCACGGCTTTCACACTGAGCCCAGCAGAAGGCATACTTCCTAACCACCCTGGGGCTGATAATTCAAGATGGACAGATGGATGGGGCCCATCGGTCACCGCAGAGGAGCCCTGGCTGCTCAGGGGAGCTGGTGATGCTTGCTCCTGGACCTTCGTGACTGTGTTAGAAGCAAGGAGGCTTTGGGAAAGAAGTGAAGGTGGAAGGTGCTTGAGGGAAGAAAAGCAGGGAGGTTGCCAGACAGGGACGGGGAGGTGATTCTAGGTCTTGGAGGTAGAAGGAAGTAGCAGAAGTTGCTAAGGGACTGGAAAAATCAAGAGGAGGTAGCTTGGTAGGGTGAAGAGGAAAGGAGGGGCTGAGACATGGACAGAGGGTTGAAGTGAACTTGAAGTTGCTGGATGCCACTGGTTTGATTAAAAATTAAGGGGATTGTCTTGAAAATGTTGGAAGGCCTCAGGGCTAGGCCTTTGGGCTTCTTCTCTCTCTGGAGTCACTTTTTTGTTGATCTCATCTCCTCTCTTGTCTTTAAATTCTATCTGTATACAGATGACTCCCAATTCTGTATCTCTAGTCCCTGGAGATCTTCCTAGATTCCAGAATCTTCTACCCAATTGCCCATTAAACAACTCCACTCAGATGTTGACATTTCAAATGTGACCTGACCACTCCTTCCCCCTTCAACTCCTTTCTGTCCCACCTTTGCGTTGGGAACCTCCATCCTTCTAGGTGCTCAGGCAAAACCTGGGGGACATCCATCTCCTCTCACATCCCATAATGACCCTTTGACAATGTAAACCACTTCCTGTCTCTCCTCTAGTCAAAACCTTCCAATGACCTCCCATCCCACTCGGAGTAAGAATCCAGCTCCTTACTGAGCTACCAGGTGCTCACCATCTGGGTTCTTCCATGTCATTGCTGTGGTCTCTTCTCTATTCTGCTCCCCCTGGTTCAATCCACTTCAGCTACAATGAACTTTTAGATGTTCTTTGAACATGTTAGGCACACTCCTGCCCCTGCCTCAGGGCCTTTGCACTGCTATTCTCTTGAGCCACAGGTTCCAGTCCCTCACATCTTTCAAGTCTTTGCTTATCACAGAGGCCTTCATTGATGACCCTAATTACAATAATAAATTTTTTTTTGCATCATCTTTCTCCCGTTTATCTCCTCCCTTCCCCCACCTTGAATATAAGCTTCAGGAGGGCAGGGATTTTTTGCACCTACAACCATACCAGGTACAGATTAGACAAATAGTATGAGTTAAATGAGTGAATGTATCTAATGGAGAGGGAGCCATATGATTGTTGTAACCACCCCACCCCCAGACCAAATCTTTCTACTTTCATAGAATTGAACTATTGAGACTCTTAACATTCATTAGAGAGGACATACATTGCTCATGGGTATGTAAAATGGTGCAGCCACTTTGGAAAACAATTTGACATTCTTAAAAATGCTAAACATGTGGTTATCATGTGACCCAGCAATTCCACTCCTGGGTAAATACCCAAGAGAACTGAAAATATGTGTCCATGTAAAAAGTTGGATGCAAATGTTCATGGCAACATTATCTCTAATAGCCCTAAAGTGGGAACAACTCACAAGTGCATCAACTGATGTATAGATAAATATAAGTCCATACGATGGAATTTTTTTAAAGCACTCTTCTTTTTTAAAAAATATACTTTTTATTGATTTTGGAGGGGAAGGGAGAGGGAGAGAGAAATAGAAACATCAATGATGAGAAAGAAACATTGATCGGCTGCCTCCTACTGGAAATCAAGCTCAAAACCAGGCATGTGCCATGACCTGGATTGAACCGTGACCTTCTGGGTCATAGGTTGATGCTCAACCATTGAGCCACACTGTGCAGGCAAAAACTCATTAAGTTTTAAGAAAAATGAAAATACTACATATCAAAACTTAGGCAACATAGCCAAAGCTGTATTCAAAAGTAAATTCTTAGGAAAAAACTAACAGTTGCTCAAAGATTTCCACAGAGTTACCCTGTGAACCAGCAATTCCATTCCTAGGAACTATATAGCTGAGAGAACTGAAAACACATATCCAAGCAAAAAAGTATATATGAATGTTCATAGCAGCTGGACCTCCTGAGGCCATCAGCACAGGTCAGGAGCAATCACACTCCTGTGGCAATGGGTCCGCTGGTACTTCCTCCCCCTGAGACCAGTTTAACACTGAGATGCGGCAAAAGGACAAAGATTTATGGGCCACAGGGAGCGGGAGGGAGTGAATTATAGGAGATAATTATTGCTCAGTGTCAATGCTTTTGTTTCCTTGAGCTCTGCAGGGGTGCTGTTAGGTGGTTTTGGAGGTGGCTCTGAGCCAGTGGAACTTGGAAGGACAAAGGTCTGTGTTGTGGGAGGTGAATTCCTTCCTTGACTCTGTCCCACTCATCAGGCCTTGGACTTGTCGGAGCTGCTCACAGTGCAGGCGGCTGTGGCCCTGCCCTCAGGTGGTGGTGACAGGTACATGGGTTTGTGTTTTCCAGGCTCATCAGATCCCATCATGGGTCCAGAAGAAGTGAGAGGTCTGGAGCGGGGAGTCTTGACCGTGCAGTGTCGCTATGACCCAGGATGGGTGACCTACAGAAAGTGGTGGTGTCGAGGAGCTGAATATGGAAGCTGCAAGATCCTTGTTAAAACCAATGGATCAGCATTTGGGGTGAAGGAGCGTGTGTCCATCAGGGACTATAAGACAAACCACACGTTCACTGTGACCATGAAGGAGCTCAGGCGAGAAGATACAGACACTTACTGGTGTGGGATTGAGAGAACTGGAACTGACCATGCGGTCCCTGTTAAAGTGACCATTGAACCAGGTAAGAGGACGTGCATGTGTGGCTGTGTCCTTTCAGGGCCTGCTCTGCCCTGGTCCCTGAGGTCCCTGTCCAGTGACTGAACTCACTCAGATGAACTGCCACAGAGGGGGGTTGGTCCTGAGGTCTCATGGAATCCCGGCTGCTCACTTAGGTTGGGAGGTGCAGGGCTTCTCTTAGATGCTCTTGGGGCTCCCAGGACCTCCCCAGGATGGATCAAGCCTTTTTGGGCACATTTTTTTCTCTGCCCAGCTTAGTACCTGAGAGTATTGCCCATAGAGACCACGGCGATGGCCCCAGTTTTAGCTCATGGGCCGAAGGAAGCCTCTTCTGTGGGAACCAATTCCTGCCAAGGCTTCCCTGGCACCTCTGGTGCCCTGGTGTCCCTGCTCTTCCTGGACTTTGGGGCCCGGGCTCATAGCCGCTGTCCCACCCCTTGTTCCATATCCGGTCTCAGGGGGAAGGAGGCCCAGCACAGTGGGGGGCTGTGGGTCACTCCCGAGGTCTGGAAAGGCTTCCACAGCCCAACAGTTGCATTCTGGGCGCCTGACATCCCACCATGAGCCATGGGTGCATCTGGGCTTAGAGACGTTCTCTTCCTGAGACCTTCTGGAATAGACACTCCTGGGAGCATCTGGGTGTGAACAAGTGTGTCTGTTGGGCTCTGCTTCTGCCGACCCTCGGACAGCCAGCACCAGCTCACAGGGCCCTTATGGCCGGGAGGGGACACACTCATAGCGTCCCCACCACACCTGGAACCCGGGAGGCCTGAGGTAGCTGCCAAGTGCAGCACGTTCCTTGTCTCATGGGATCTCGAGAATGATCCTGAGCAGGAACTACCCCATCACAGAAACTTAAAAACTTGTCCAAAGGAAAGGCTCTTCCTGAACATCGTGATTTTGCTCAGGGCTGGCCCTGACCTTAGAAGTCATAGCTCTTGGGTATGTTAGTTACCTGGCACGTCCCCATTCTGCTCTGGTCCTTGCTGGATAAGTAAGATGGGGGAGGTACTGGTGGAGGCCCTGCCATAAACAGCGGAAGTGTTTAAAGTTTAGCTGAACTCCAGCTGCCATTGCCCTGAGGCAATCCTGGGCCCCCTGAGCCTTCCAGGGCCTGTGTGATGACCCCTTGGACCTGTGCCCAGGTCTCCTACAGCCAAAGAGATGAGTGGCCCAGCTGTAGGCCCCTTCCCGTGGCCCTGCCCCAGGCTGTGCAGGCCAGGGCAGCCCACATCCTCCCTGGCTCTGAGCTACGTGCAGGGCTGCGGGTGGGATAGCAGGAGAGTGGAATGTAATCTGTTCTGTATGACAAGCAACAACTACAGTGTTGACCCCCACCCCCGCCATCGCCTCCACTGCCAACGCGTTCACAGTACCAGACACCCCAGAAAACTCTACAGGCTTCCTGAATGTGACCAGCCAGCACTCCGATGGCAGGTAAGTCAGCTTGGATGCTGCTCTTCCCGGTGGCCCACTGGTCCCAAACTTCTCCGGTGTGGGGACCCTTTGTAGTCCCACGTCCCAGCCAGGATGCCAGGGGCCCTTCCTCTTGCTCTCAGGCCGCACAGTGTCCTTGGTGAGCCCCCACCCCATCCTGTGTCCTGGAGCTCAGTGCAGTTCGGAGGTTTGTTCGTTCATTCACGCATCCATCCCACTTCCACTGAGTTAAATTCTGCTTGGCCGGCACTGTGTTGAGCTCAGGTCACACAGATATAGAGCGTCCCATGTGGAGCTCAGAGTGTGGGAGATGGAGGAGCCGGCAGTCAAGGCAGAGGGCATGGCCAGGGTATGTGGGCACGGGCCACAGTGCCCCCTGGTCCAAATTCTGGGAGAACAGGAAGGGCCTGGGGAAGTCCTGTTTCCCCAGTTACAGTAAGGCAACAGCAGTGACCCTGATAGGCCCTCGTGTCTCTAGAGCCTCTGGCAGCTCACAGAGGACTTTCCTGTGTGTTATTCTGTTTGTAGGTTGACCCTGCTGACACCACGCACATTCCCATCCTCAGTCTTCCCACACCAGGCACTCCTTAGCCCCCTCACCCATTAGACCTCTCTTTGGGGAGTCTCTTTCTCCCGGACTGCTTTTAACAAGTAACAGCAAGGACTTTCTCATTTTATGAGTCAAAGCGAGACATACGTACCAGTTAGGGCTTTTGCTCAGCTTTATGCAGTCAAATGCTCTACTACTGAGCTATACCCCCTATGCTCAGCTTTATGGATAACTCACTCATTTATTCAACAAGTAGCTATTGATCCCCCCTTATATCCAGCACCGATTTAGGGAACACAGGGGATAGGAGATGAACAGAACAATCAAGCTGTCTGTCTGCCCTCCAGGCACTTACAATCAAGAGATAATTAATGTACCAAATAGAGTTAATTAAGTAATTAATTGATGAATTTATTTTACAAATCTCTGTAAGTAATGACGAGTAAGAGATAATCCTTATATTCATCAGCTCAGACTGCCATCACAAAGCAGCGTCAGCTTAAACAAACAGTTGCATTCCGGGCGCCTGACATCCTATCATGAGCTATTGAGGCCTCAAGTTCTGGAGGCCAGAAGTCTCAGTCAGGGTGTCAGCAGGGTTGGTTCTTCCCGAGGCCTCGGTCCGTGGCTTGTAGACGGCCATCTTCTCCCTGTGTCTTCCCATGGTTTCCCCTTTGTGTGTGTCTGTGTCCCAGTCTCTTCTTATTATTATAAGAACCCCAGGCATTTCCTCCCAGAAGAGGAAGCAAGGGTGAGAAGAGTAAGAAATGAGGAAAGAGAGTGTGTGTGTGTGGGGGGGAGGGGTGTGGGGCTCTCAGGCGGGGGAGGGCAGTGGAGGCCAATGCCAGCCTTGGCCATTTTCTTGGAATGAAATGGGGCTGTTCTGGGATTTTGAGCACAGGAGGGAGGTGCTGGGACTTTGGTTAAAAGCATTCCCCTGGCTGCTGTGCTGTATTGATGATAAACTACAGGAGGATGCATGAGTTTCCTGTGGCTGCCATAACGAAATAGCACAAACTGGGTGGCTTAACACAAGACAAGTTTATTCTCTCACAGCCCAGGAGGTCCATGATCTGAAATCAAGGTGTCGACAGGGCTGGCTCCTTGGGGCTCAAAGGTAGAACCTGTCCCATGCCTCTGTCTTGGCTGTTGGTGGCCGGCAATCCTTGGCCTGTGGCTGAATCACTCCAATCTTTGCCCCTGTTGTCACATGGTCTCCGTGACCGTGTCTGTGTTGCCCAAATTGTCCTTTTATAAGGACACTAGTCATTGGGTTAGGCCCATCCTAATCCAGTACGACATCATCTTGATCACATCTGCAAAGCTCTTATTTCCAAATAGGTCATCTTCCCAGGTTCTGAGTGACATGAATTGTGGGCTGGGGGACACTATGCAGCCAGGTCAGAGGACCAGTGAGGAAGCAGGGAGACCTTGCCGGTGCCTGTTGTCATACAACTTCTCTTAGGCTTCTAGACCCATTGAAACTCCCTTGTGTGGCTCCGGTGAGGTTGAAACGGCCCCTGTGAGGTTGGGACGGCCTCGGTGAGGTTGGGAAGGCCCCCGTGAGGCTGGGACAGCCCCTGTGAGGTTGAAACAGCCCCTGTGAGGCTGGGACGGCCCCTGTGAGGCTGAGACGGCCCCTGTGAGGCTGCGATGGCCCCTGGGAAGCCGAGAAAAATACCATATGATCTCACTCATTTATGGATAATAAAGACCATTATAAACTGATGAACAAAGATAGATGCAAAGGCAGAGCAGCATTGAACAGACTGTCAAACTACAGTGGGAAGCCTGGGGAGGGTTGGGGGGTTGTAAGAGATCAACCGAAGGACTTGTATGCGTGCATATAAGAATAACCAATGGACACAAGACACTGGGGGAATGTCAGGGGGGGCGGTGAAGGAGACATGTGTAATACTCTTTGTAATACTTTAAGAAAATAAAACAAAATTAAAAAAAAAAGAAACTCCCTTGTGGAACCCTCTTCTCCTTTAAAAACAACAGCCATTTTGGAGGGCACCCAGGAGTGGGGTTCCCAGGCTGGAAACTGCAAGCCAAAAGGTGTGTGGCTGTCTGCTACCGGGTGGATGGGATAAGGCCCAGAGGCAGGAGGTGAGCCAGGGCTCACCGGTGTCTTCTGTTGTTTCCAGTGGTGTCTCCCCGAATCTCTTCATCCTCCTGCCCCTCCTCTTTACTCTGTTGCTGCTTCTCTTGGTGGCAGCCTCACTGTTGGTGTGGAGAATGGTGAGGCGACAGAGGAAAGGTGAGAGGACCTGGCTGGGCTGGGCTGGGTGGAAGTGTGTGGGCAATGGCTGGGATGGTCATCCAGGAGCCATCGGTCCAAGGGATTGCCCATGGGGTTTGGAAGGGGTGTTTTCCCAAAGGCCGCTGGTAGATGAGGCCAGGAGGTGCTGACATGAGCTGTCTGCCTTGCACACCCCTCCTTGCCCTTCTCTTCTCTCTGACCCACCACTTCCTTCTCTGTTTCCTGGCTTGACTCTTGGTGGCAGAAGCGGCCATGACCGTAGGCCCATTTTGGGAACCCAGACACTTAGTGAAATTCATGTGGTTGCCAAGGAGGTACTGAGCTGACACAGAGGTAGGGAGAAACACACACACATGCAAGAATGTGTACACACATGCACAAACACATATAACACAGTGCATGTGCACACATGAACACAGGTAACACACATGTGCACACAGAGATTATACATATGCACACACACATGCGTGCTTGAGTATGCGTCACACACAGAGTCCTCTGGGTTTTATTATAAAGGTTGGTTGAGATTCCTACTTTGGCTCCTCCTCCGCCCCAGCCATTCACTCACAAGCCAGCATCATCCAACAGGGGATTTGGCCCCAAACAAACCCTCCTCCTGTCTGGCTCCACTTCCACATCCTCACGTAATGGCACCGCCCCTTCTCAGAGCCCACTGGGACCTGCTTCTCTCTCATGGGGTCCTCTCCATCCCCCTCCCTCCCCCCAGCCTAGGGGATAATCTGGGAGGGGAAGCCTGGCTCTGTTCATCACATCACATTTTCTCCCAAGTGCATTGTCCGTGGCTCACGTTATAAATACTTTCTGTGCTCCTCAGTATCTAGAGTTTTGAAACTAAAAATCTGACTGTTTTTGTTTTTTAGCTGCTGGGATATCCCCAGAGCAGGTAAGAGAGCCCCTGAGGTCAGACCAGCACTTTCCCTCATTTTCCGTCTCCCAGGGGCCCCGAGGTCCAAAGGTATCAGGCAGACCATGTGCCCAAGTGCCCAAATCCTCCCAGCCGCAAGGCCAGGGTGGATGGAGGGGGTGCTGGAAACAGCCAGAGGAGGGGAGGGCTGGGAGGGGGAAGGCGAAGGAGACAGAGACGTGGGGGCTGCATAGGAAGCTGGGGGGGGCAGGGTAGCAGAGGGGTTGGTGTCCTTCTGCGGAAGAGGAACCTGGGCTTCCTCTCCCAGGTGCTCCAGCCCCCGGAGGACAACATCTGCTATGCCAACCTGAACCTGAAGCAGACAGGAGCCTCGCCCAGCTCCCCCAGGAAGAGGGGCCCCACACAGCCCTCCTCCTCTGCCCAGGACGACCAGGGGGAAGTGGAGTACATCACCATGGTGGGTACTTGCTGGGGCTGCTGTGGGCCTTGGATTCATCGCCCCTGCTTTGAGGATGGACTTTCTCCCGCCCCTGTGGGCACAGAGGAGGGTGGGTGCCGGGCACAATCGCAGCCGTTGAAAGACTTGCCTCTGAGCTCCCCAGGAGCTTGGCCTTCAGAAGTGTCTCCATATCAGGTCTCCACATGGGGGACTGGGAGCCTGGTCAGTGGAGACCCAGCCAGGCCCAGTGACCTGGGAGCACACGCAGAACGTGCTGCCCTGGCATGGAGTTGAGGGAGAGTCACCTGCTGTGGCTGGAGCTCAGGGTGCCCTGCAGGGAGGAGGGAGGCGGGGCTGGAGGGCCTGGGAGTGGACTTCAGAGTTCCTGAGGGGCGTGTCCCCCAGCCTCAGGGAGGCCTCCTCATCCATGAGCACAGCACCCCACCCCTCCCCGCACCAGCCTCCCTGACTTGCATGTGTCTTTGTTACAGGCCCCCTTTCTGGACACGGACATTTGCTATGCAGCTCTGTCTCTGGACACCTCAGATCAGGACTCAATCTACATCAACACACAGGACCTCACCACTCCCCTTCCCAGCAGGAGCCAGGAGGAGCTCATCCAATACAGCGCCATCAGGAAGCCTTAGCTGTGCTAAGGATCCTCTGCCCGACCCCACATGAGGCCTGTCAGCATGTTCCTGCCTTGTCTGCTTTCTGCTCCAAGTCCTCTCATCACCCCCAGCCCGGAACTGGGCTCCGAGCCTGGTCTCAGGGGGCTTCCTCTACCAGAGGCTAGGGCTATGGTCTGGGGCAGCTGAGGGAGGAATAATGATGATCATGACAATAGAATCACAAGGGTCCTCCTTATAAGTGGGAGGTAAGAAGGTCACAAGATCATGACAATATATAGCTGCCATGTGTGGTGGGTTGAATAACAGCTCCCAATGCTATGTATGTACTAATCGTCAGAACGAAGTATGTTAGCTTCTTTGGCCACAGGGGCTGGGCAGATGTAATTAAATGAAGGATTTGAAGATGTGGAGATTATTCTGCATTATCCTGGCAGGCCCTAAATAGAACCACAAGGGTCCTCTTTGTAAGAGGGAGGCAAGAAGGTCACAAGAGAAGGGGCTGTGACGATGGAAGCAGAGGTTGGAATGACGCGGCCAGGAGCCAAGGAAAGCTGTAGCCTCTAGAACAGCCGTGGGCAAACTACGGCCCGCGGGCTGGAACCGGCCCGTTTGAAATGAATAAAACTAAAAAAAAAAAAGACCGTACCCTTTTATGTAATGATGTTTACTTTGAATTTATATTAGTTCACACAAGCACTGCATCCATGCTTTTGTTCGGGCCCTCCGGTCCAGTTTAAGAACCCATTGTGGCCCTCGAGTCAAAAAGTTTGCCCACCCCTGCTCTAGAAGCTGGAAAAGTCAAGGACTGGATGCATCAGAAGGAACCAGCCTCGCGGAAACCCTCACCTAAATCCAGTGAAAGGGATTTGGAACTTCTGGCCTCCAGAACTGTAGGAGCATAAATGAACATTGTTTTCATTGAGCCACTAAATTGGAGGTAATTGGTTAAGCCACGTTGGGAACAGATACCCTATTGTGGCAGGTGCTCTTTCCTAAATGCTCTACCTATAGAAACTCATTCAATCCTCCCAACAGGGCGCCTCCATTACCGCCCCATTTTACAGATGAAGAGTCGAGGTCCAGAGAGGTTCAGTGACTTATCGAGTTTTTTCACCAGCAAGTGGATGAGTTGGAATTTGAACTCGGGCATTTTGCCTCCAGAGTCTGGGCCACCACCCTGCACTGTGGGCCTAGGGAGGATAGTGTGTGTGTGTGTGTGTGCAGGCACGTGCATTCACACAGGGATAGTTAGTGAATATTTACAAGCTCCGGACTCACCATGCTTCTTCTAGAGTCCCGGTAGCCCTCTCTCCAGAGCATGTCCTGAATCCTGTCCAGTCCCATTGTCTCCATGGTGACCAGCCTCGTCCAAGCTGCCATCCATCCCCTGGCTGGAGTCCCTCTTTCCATCTGTGCCCATTCTCCCAGCAGCCAGACCTGCTCACTCCCTGCTTATCACCCTCGGGCGGCTTCTTCCGCAGCCTATGGGGCCACCGGGACCCCTGGTCCCTGCCTGCGCCTATGACCCTGTCTCTGCCAACCTTCCTGCCCCTCGCTGACCTTCACCCCCTGTGGCCTTCCTGCTGCCCTTGGAACATAATAAGGCTTGTTAACCCTCATCTGAGGATATATATATTTTTTCCATTGATTTTCTTAGAGTGGAAGGGAGGGGGAGATAGAGAGACAGAGATAGAGAGAAAACATCGATGTGGGAGAAACACATCAATTGGTTGCCTCAGGGTTGGGGGCCTGGAAGTGTTTAGGGGCCATTATCAGTGGGTCCTGGGGCTGGCCTCACTTCTCACAGCTGTGGACACCCAAGGGGCCTGGGGAGGTAGGTGGCCATCCCAGCATGATTCTGCTCTTCTTCCTGGGGGAATTCCCTAGCATGGCCACAGCTTTATGATCTGATCGTGGGGAATTTGCAGAGCCCTGACAAGCTTACATATTCTTGGGCTGGTCATTTATGCTGCTGGGGTCAGAGAGAGACTGTGTGACCCTGGCCGTTTTAGGATTTACACAGAACAGGAAGTGCTGACAGAGAGATCTTTAAATGGAAAAGGTCAACGTTGAGCAAAATCAGAGTGAGTCAAAATAGAAAAATAAAAGTCAAAATAGAAAGCCTTGGGCCAGGGCACCGCCGTGCCATTTTCACTTCTGTGTATAACGTGGTTTTACTACTGAGTTTTTAAGCAGCCAGCGCCAAGCAGAATCCATAAGTACCTGGGTTTGTCGGACTAGTTACATCTTTTCTAGTAACTAGTGAAGATTCCTGCCATGAATCTCCTGACATAAATTGAGAAACACCGGGGAGGCTAGAATGTAGCTCAGTTTAGTTTGTCTGGAGGACTCTGGTTGCTTCTGCCTTTTTCTGGACCGTGGATATGGGCTGGAAATGGAAGTTTCTGGCAGCCTGGCTGAGCTGAGGAAAAAGAAACCAGCTTAGAAAGACAGATCCATGCCCGGCTGGCGTGGCTCATTGTTGAGCATCGACCTATGAACCAGGAGTCATGTTCGATTCCCTGATCCCCGGTACGGGGTGTGCAGGAGGCATCCAATCAATGGTTCTCTCTCACCATTGATGTTTCTGTCTTTCTCTCCCTCTCCCTTCCTCTATGAAGTCAATAAAATATATTTTTCTTAAAAAGAAAGACATCCACTCTGATCACTTTCAATTGTTTTATTCAAGCTTTTATAAAAGTATCTACCAGATATACTGCTGGATTGGTGGCTGTCTTTAAAGGGACCTTTTCATGTCCTCAGAGACGGGGTTGACTAGCCCATGGCACTTGGGAAAGCTGCCCAATCCATCCTACAGCGGCACGGAGCAGACTGCTGGCTGTGGTCCTCCTGGGAAGTATCCGGGTCTTTTCGGTGGGCCTGACTGCAGGAATCTACCTCGAAGCCAGTCCAATTTGTTCAAGCCAGAACTGGAGTTTAGACCGTGGTCTGGAAGTGGTCAGGGCCCCGGGGGAAGGGAAGCAAACATATGCAAGAGGTACGAAAGGAAGTTGTTTCGTAACGTTTATAGATTGGCATCTCAGTGTTGTCTCGGCCATATCCGGCGGCTCCACAAATACTTTAGGGCAGATTTTGGGTGCTGGTCTAGCACCTTTACTGCAAGAGAGAGAAAGACCAGGCAGGGTTCTTCTGGTCTGAGTGACGGTGGCATTGGCCATTTTGTGGTACCGTTTCCAGGCAAGCGCACTTCTGTGAAGGCAACCGCCAAGGTATCTAACCACTCAGCTCTGAAGGAGTGCCTCATTAGTCTCAGCCTGTCTAATGCTACTCAGGCTTCCCTCCTCTGGCTGTTGAATTATTAATATTTAAAGATTCTACTTTATAAAAGTTGTAGGGTTTGGGCAGTCTTCTTTTGAGAATGCTGTGCTTTCAGAAGACGGAGCCTTTCTGAGCAGTTGACAGAGATATACTGGACTGGTAACCTTCAAAATGCATGATGAAGACAAATGTTGGATTGACCTTAAAAACAGCAGCTGCTTAGCCTTGGGAGGGCCAGGCTGCTGGACTAAGTCGATTTCACGTAATCAACAATGTTTTAGATCCGGAGGGACTGATCCAGCCTTTTATTTTACCAAGTAGGTGCGTTTTTAGCCAAAGTGATTGGAATTGGTAATTAATCAGTCAGTTCACTGAAAGAGTTGGTTAAATCAGGGAATCATGAAAGAGGTATTCTTTCTCTAAATGCTTTGTCTTGACTCTAAATACCTAAGTGTGTAGCAGTTCGCTGGCATTTTGATGTAGACCCGAGCCATTCCTTTGCCGTTCTTCTCAGGGGCCGTTGCCGGTTCAGCATGAACTGCACACATGTGGTGTGGGCTGGAGTCCAGTTCCAGTTTGTCTGATGTGGAGGAAGACGCGCAAGACACTTGTGAAGCAATCAGATTGCAAAGCCCTTTCTCATTTTCCTGTTTTTACTCAGAATATTTCACAGCTCTCTCACTCATTCCTAATCTGACTGCATTAAAAAAAATGACGTGCTTTTATCGAGTCTTTCCAAAGCATTCCATTTAGTTTTTGTAGAAATAACAGTTCTCTTTTTGCTTACACTCTTTTTCATTGGTATCCTTTCTGTTGATACTCTTCGTTGATGAGCTCATGGATGCAGGCATTAAATCACACCATCATATTACTGCGCACGACAGGCCTAAGCAAGTTTGGGCCCGAACACAGCTGACTCTTGTTAAACGCGCACCTCAATGGGCGAGAACAGAAGAATCTACCCTTTGCCACAGGGACCAAGTCAGTATGTTTCACCAAGAGACTAAAGGCTGTTGGTTGAACTAGTAAGAGTGGGGTTGGTGAAGAAAGTTTCCACTGAACCATCTGTTATGACCATAATTTCATAAAAGAAAGGACCGTTGAGGACCCCAAGTCAGAATAGCAGTCAGTGTTTCCCAAGAAAAGGTAGTTGGTGACTTTATGCCAAGGTGGACTTAGGTTGTGTGCACCTAATCTCCTCCCAAGGGCATGGATACTTTATCAAGGGCAGGCACTCACATATGGACTCAGAATTGGCAGCCATTGATCTCGTTCATACTGTTCTCTGGACACGATTCCCTCCAGTACGGCCCAGCTGGTGGAGTCTAGCATTCCCTTCACGACCTCTCATAACCCTGTGTGTCTGGGCGCTGACTCAGGCCGTCAGTCATGAGGGCCCTATGGCCCAACGCCAGATTCCCCCTGCCCAGCACAAGCCCTTCCCCACAGTGATCTCAAACTCACATGGCCCTGCCCTGAGGGTGCGGGGTTCTTGCCTCAAGGCAGGGTGACTGACTGATTGGTTTTGCCGAAGGACCTCTGAGGACAGGTTCAGAATTAAGCCTGGGTAAGACTCTGTTTCTAAGGCTCAGGAACAGACAAGGCACATGTTGAACCCTGGTTCGGTAGGAAATCTGCTCTTTGCAGAGCGGAAGAGAGTCTTCTTTGTGTTCCCTGCAGGTCCCAGAGGGAAAACCCATCCTGGTGAGTCTCTGAGGGCTCCTGAATCCCTTCCTGTCACCTTCCTACCTCCTGTGCCACCAACCCAGGTGGCCCCAATCCTACCATTTATTAACTTATTAATTTTTCATTTTAAGTTATAAAATATCTGATACATACTACATACTTATATAAAGTGGATAC